TCCCTTCTAGTGTGCCCACCTTGCCCCAAATCTTGGTGTCAGCAAATTTGAACAGGGTGCTATTTACCCCCTCATCCAAGTCGCTGATGAAGATGTTGAACAATGCGGATCCGAGGACCGAGCCCTGGGGGACCCCACTACCCACATCCCTCCAGGTCGAATATGACCCATCCACCACCACGCTCTGGGTGCAGCCCTCCAGCCAATTTGCCACCCATCTGACTGTGTAGGCATCAGTGCCACAGTCATCTAGCTTTTTAATGAGAATGGGGTGGGAGACAGTGTCGAAGGCCTTCCTGAAGTCCAGAAAGACTACGTCCACCATGATGCCTGCGTCCCATGATCATAGAAGGCCACCAGGTTGGTCTGACAGGACCTGCCCCTAATCTACCCAGGCGGGTTGCCCCTGAGCATCACCCCTCCCCACCCACTGGTCCTTCCCAGATGTGCTTTTGGATCATTTTCTCCAGGACTGAAGTAAGACTGATGGGCCTGTAGTTGCCTGAGTCCTCCCTCCTCCCTGTTTTTGAAAATGGGGACCACATTGGCCTTCTTCCAGTCATCTGGCACCTGGCCAGAGCACCATAAGCGCTCATACAGCCATGCCAGGAGCCCTGCGATGACCCCTGCCAATTCCTTCAGCATCCTGGGGTCGAGAGCACCTGGACCTGCTGATTTAAACACATCCAGCCCCTCCAGAAGTTCCCTAACTTGGTCCTACCTGACCCTGGGCTTGGCAGAGTGTCTCCTGAGTCCATCCTGAATCTCAGTGGGGGCGTCCTGGTCCCTACACAAAAAAATGGAGGCAAAGAAATTGTTTAAAAGTTCTGCCTTTCCTCTGGTGCAACTACCAGATTGCCAAGGGTATCCTACATGGGCCCCACATTACCCGGTGCCTTCTTCATACTCCCTATGTTAATTAATTAAATCTGGATGACTAGACTTCACCACCTGAGTGTTTGAGGGCTCTGACATCAGTTTCTTCTCTGGACCCAACTCCTTCCATCAGAAAAGCTGGAAGGCCATGCCCCTTGGTAAGTGCCAGCAAGGGAAAGGGTCTTTACTGCATGTGTACAAGGAGCAAACTGGCCCAACGTGCGATGTTTCCTTGAGCCCTTGCTACAAAGCTGTGCTCAGCCATGGAAATTCCCACCTGGGTTGCTCACCCACCCTCTCCTTCTTTGCTTGCAGGTTCAGCATCTCCAACCATTGAACCTAACGTCCCCACTGTGACAGTGAACAGCAGAGACCCGGTGAACTTCCTTTGCTATGGGGACTCCAGAGTAGAATGGGTCACCAAATTGAAAGACAAAGTTGTGCGCACCATGGGCACTAACAGCACACTTACTATCGCCAGTGCTACCTACAAGGACACGGGCACCTACCAGTGTGCCTACACCAACAGCAGCAACCGTGGGAGAGCCTCTGTGCATCTCTTTGTGAGAGGTAACTATACCAGATCCTGCCCTGTTGATGATATAGGACTGTTTTCAGTTTATGCCAATAAAACCCCTCATGGAGGCAGTGTGCTCAGTGGGTGGCACCGGAGTAAAAGTCAGGATGCCTGGGTCATTTATTCCAGTTGCTTCACATCCCTGGGCCTCTGTGTTCCCGCCTGTAAAATGAAGTTAATGATGCAACATCTCCCACCCCTCCTTTTTTTTTTAAGCACTTTAAGGTATAAGGATGAAAAGTCCCTAGAAGAAATAGGTAGGAGTATTCACTATTCAAATAGCTTTTCCTCAGGTTAAACCAAGTCCCAAGCAACGTAAGATAACCCAAAAGGCCCGGAATAGGTGCGTCTGCCAGGTCCATACCAGGCGTAACTCTATTCCCTCTAAGTTCCCACCTTAACTGCTAACAGAAGACCTGTCCCTGTGTAGCCAACCCATAACTTGCACCTGAACCTTTACATCTGTGCGAGCTCTGCGGTACATATGGAAAGCCAGGTTGCACCCAGAGCCGCGGGCTCCTACACCCGGCCCATGCCGGGCCTACAAAACGGTCCGATAGCACATTTTTGCCTCTGCCTTTCAGGGGGACCTTGCAATCGGGCATCTCCAGCTCCTCGTTAGCCGGTCAGATTGATTCTTCCAGCTCAGGTTTTTTGTTGATATAACCACTTGTTAAGGGCTAACTGCCACTCACACAACCCCATCTCAACTATTTAAATGTCATGGCCTGGATCTGCCTTGGCAATTGTCTTAATGAGCCGTGGGGCTATCAGTGGGGTCAGGACTGCCTGACACCAGCTGAAAACTAGGCAGCCATGCAGGGCAGATAGACGGGAGCTGGACCTATCACCCCTCCGCACCGACCGTGCTCAACTTCACCGTCTGGTCTGTCTTATCCCCTCAACAGATCCCATGAACATGTGGTACGTCAGCACCGTCAGAGTCCAAGTAAAGGAAGGCAGTGACGCCCAGCTCCCCTGTCTGATCACCAACCCAGCCTATGGATCCAACGTTACTCTAGTAATGAACGACCATTCCCCCATCCTACCAGGGACAGAGTTTTCTTTCAGTGCTCAGGATGGAGTAACGATATACAGAGTCCAGCAGGCTCAGAAAGGTTACTACAGATGCCAGGTCCTGATCAACGGAGAAGCAAAGAAGTCAACAAAGATCAGACTGCTTGTTTCTGAAGGTGAAGGGTTAGGTTTCTGGCTGCTCTTCCAGTGGTAGCACTGGTGGGGGGAATTCTCCTGAGGAAGGAAGGACCAGCGAGGTTAAGGATGGGAAAGACCAACGGGGTCCCCGAGACAGGAATTTTCAAGTTACGTGCCCAGTTCCCACTAAAGTTGGTCACCTACCCCTCGCCCTAAGCCTGCCTCCCAACCAAGGCATCGTTGTCCCCTAGGGCTGTGTCCTGGGTAGACTTAAATTGTCCCTTTGAAAACTCTTCCACAGCCTAATGGAAAACTTTCCTTAGCGGCCTGCGCAGTACTGGGAGGGCCACATACAACATCACCATGAAGAATAGGTTCAGTCAGCAGGATCCCACTAGCACTGACCATACCCTTGGACCCTGCCCTCCTGCCTCCTTGGTGCTCTGGTACTTCTAGGCAGGGGTGTAGGTTGCAGCCGTGTTGGTCTAAGGACACAGGCAGACAAGGTTCTTCAGGTGAGTCTGATACCTTTTATTAGACCAACTTAAATAGTTGGAGAACAATTTTTAAGCAAGGTTTTGGGTACTTGTAGGTGCATTTGAGACACTGCTCTTCATTCTGGGAGCTCGCATGCCCGAGATCTTTGCACTATGCCTCTTAAATGGGGACCCATCCAAGACAGGCCTCCCCTTCCCTTTGAACCTGCTGAGCTGCCGGGCAGGGGCAGTGATGGGGGTGTAGAAATGGCAGCAGTAGATGAGATGGTGACTCCAGAGGGAGAGGAATGATCAGGGTTGGTGAGGAGAGCTGATGGTAGGAAGAAGTCAGCAAGCCCTTGGAAACTCCCCCAGGAAGCAAAGACCTTAGCACCCTTGCACAACTCACCTGGACATGCATTTGCCTTTGCTCAGCAGTGGAGATGCCCGTCTCGGTCACCATGGAGACAAAAGACCACGTGCGAATCCAGGGTGAGCTTTTCTGGGTCACCTGCCAAGTAAAGGCTCCTTCCCACAAGTACGACATCACGTGGAAGCATCCGGCTGAGAACGTAAGTCACAGTAGCGCTCCCGGCTCTACGGCAGGGTGCATCTCTGGAGAAGGTGGCAATGGGGGTGCTCAACTCAGGCATGCACCAGATGGATGGAAGTGACTGCAGCAAAGGACCGAAGCCCAGGCTGAGACTAGGCATTGCCCACCAGCCGTGGAGATTTGAGCACAGCCGCCCATTCTTTCCCTTCTTCTTTGGCGCAGCGACGATTAGCCCAGAGTCAAACATAGGTCTTTTTCTTGGCATCTTGCAGCACTGAAAAATAAATTGGATGTTGTTTATTGGGGTTCACCAAGCATGAACCTTGACATCTTCTGAGGGAAACTGAACTGGCATCTCCCAGATGGCTTTCCCCCAAGAAATGTCAATGCCAGGCCTACACGCCAACAAATGTGCTCAACACATGCACGCACACAAGCTCCCTAGCGAAAGGGAAGAGGGGGAAGACTTTTCTTTAGAGCTGCTAGAGCATCAGTGCTCAACGTTTGGCCCCACAGTCCAGAATAGGGGCACAGAGCTGGTCCACAGGCCAAATCAGACCCCACACCCCAGGATCAGGCCCCAGAGGTCTGGGGGCCCCAAGCCACCTCACCCACTGGGGGCCTCATGGGTTGAGTACCTCTGCTCTAGGGCATTGACATAAAGCACTTAATGCAGTGCCAAGTCCCCCACATCCCAGCTACCTCAGGGATTTCTTCATATCCCTACCTTATCATGCCAAAGTGCTGCCTAAGGGCATGTCTGGAAGCGCACCGTAAAAACCCACATTGGACTGGCGTATCCCAATGAGAGCGGACAGCAGCTTAAATTAAGAGATGGCATTGATATACTAAATATTACTCTGTTTTCAGATGAAGCAACACACATATGGCTTAGAAGCAGGGCTGGCACTAATGGAAATAAAGGTGCATGCCTGTCCATACTGTACAGTACCAGTACTGAACATCCAAATTAAAAATACTTGTTTGTACTCGTGTGTGCTTAAGCTACCCAGAGCAAAGCAGAGCGATGTGGGGGAAACAAGGCGATGGGCCCAGTCATTAAAAGTCTTGGCTTTTCCCTTTCCAAACAGATTGCTCTAACGGACCTTTGCTTTGATTGCAGGCCACAATCACCAAAAGCACTGACTATGTAAAGAAGGATTACATCATTAACGTCACCCTGACCATTGCTGCAGTGACAATGGGAGATAGCGGAAGATACACTTGCATAGCTAACAATTCAGGTGGATCCAGGAGCTTGTCAACTGTGCTCAAAGTCGTAGGTGAGCAATTTCTAAAGGGGCCAAAAACAACGTGCCTGTTTCGTGATCACACAGACGTGATCCTTGCTGGCATCTACTGCATCACATTCCAGTGTTGTTTTGCCATCGGAGGCACCGGGATCAGCTCTGCCCAACGAGGGGCTGATTTCAGTCCCAGTAGTCTGCAGGGATGAGGTGAACTAAAGCTTACATGTCTCAAGGGACAATGGGCAGGTGCCACTGTCTTTTCCCTGGCTTTAAAACTATATAAACCCATTGGCCACCCATCAGGGAAGGGCACCCTGCTTGCCCAATGCCAGGTTTGACCAAAATGGATCGTGCCAGCAACAGAGATCAGTAAATGTTCTTTCTTCCCCCTTAAATCTGCTCTGGAGTAAGTGCAGTGGACTCCTTTGAGGGCGCTGGAGCCATGCACCACTCTCCTGGATGGGGATGGCCACCCCTGCTGACCATCTTTGCTCTTTTGGTCCTGCAGAGAGAGGCTACGTGCATCTGTCTCCTGTGCAGAACGCCACCCAGAAGGTAGCACTGGGAGGGAGCTTGCAACTGCAGGTCCAGATTGAGGCTTACCCTCCCCTTCATGACTGGGGCTGGAGGCATCACAACCCTTCAGAGGACATTGAGAACTCCAAGCTTGAAAACCAGATGGCTACTGGCAACAACCGGTATGGTGTCCCCTCTCTCCTGGGCATATTTCCAACACTGCCAGAGGAACCCTTCCCCTTCCAGACTGGCATCCCTACAGCAGACTACTTCTATGGGCCACCGGTGGGTAGAGCGAAGGGAGGGGAAACATTTGGTCTGGCCTCCCCCATGTCAACCGGCAACAAAAAATCCGAGTGAGCGAGGAAGGAAAAGGCACAGGTAGTCAAGGAAAGCGTCCCCACCCCTGAGCCAACCTAGCAGCCTAATTTTTGAGAGGCGTCACAGCGTGAGCCCCCGTCACTCTCATGAGTGGCTGCCACCAGAGCTAAAATTTATGCTGTTTTGGGGCAAAGAGCACAAGGGGGCTCGTTGGGTACCAGCAGGTCAGATGGTGCCATGTCTTCATCACACTTGTGTTTGATGTAGCAGGAGCCTGGGAGCTTCAAGACTGTATAACAGATGCTGCTTTATTAAGGATCTGGCACCACAGACACACACAGTCCACTAGCCCTAGAAACCCCCTCGCTCCTCCATCGCGGGTTTAGTTGACCCTGGGGCCAGTGGCATGACTGCCCTCACCAGCCCCTGCTGCTTGAATTTTGCACCCCGGAGCCTCACACCCCGGTTGGAGGGTGATTGCAGCTGCTGGAGGAGGATCTGAGGCCGGACAGACATGGCCCAGGCACTAGGAGTTGGTCAAGTGGTTGGGGGGAAAAAGGGTAGCTAGGACTGCACACTTATCACTTCACCCAGGGCCCCACAAAGCCTCAAGTCAAGCTGAGCCACAACAGGATGCTCAGAGATACGTCCTACTAGCTGGAAGGAGCTGGCAATTCCTCTTTCATTTCTCAGACACCAGAAGTAACCCAGAGGAGGAACAGAAGTGCAAAGCTACCAAAAGGGTAGTTGGTCAGACTGCCGCTCGGGTCCAGGCTCTACAGGCTGGGCTTGGGGTTAGGGACATGGAGTGAACAGAACAGGCTTTGAGGGAGGGGGGAGCCACCATGGGGAAATAATACTTCTCGGTCTGTCAGGCCAGTCCTGGGCCTTTCCCAGTTGAGGACTCTGGTCTTAAACTCTCCCCAGCTTCCGAGCTGTCCCTCTGAAGAGGTCACTGTGTGTCAGCTCCCCGCAGCCTGCGCTCTTCCATCACAGCGTTTTCTCTGACGGGAGTGGGAGAAGGGACTGGAGTAGATCTCCTTGGTCTCTCTCCAGATGAGGCTGGCTGCAATGCAAAGATCCCGTAGCTCTTTCCAAACAGAACAGAAAGCAGCGCTGCCCTCCTGCCCCACACCACCTCGCCGTGTCCCCTCCAAGGAGGGGCTTGGCAAAAGCTCGGTGCCCAATTCTCCTTGGTTGGCACTGGAGGCCATCGCTGTCTGCTCACAGGGTTGGAGATGGACTGGTACCAGGATCCCAGTGGCTGCTGGGGATTCACAGGCAGCAACTGAGCCACTTAGCAAGTGCATTGCACTGTAGAGCACCCCACATGCCTGGTTGTTTCCACACCTGTAATTCCACCTCGATGTCTGCTCTCTCCTGGGGCAGGTACAACAACACGCTCGTCCTGAGCCGCCTACAGAGGGTGGAAAGCGGCCTCTACACCTTCTACGCTGCAAACAGCGAGGACACCGCATCCGTGACCTTCAGCCTGTTCCTGAAGTGTGAGTGCCCATTGCATGGGGTCTGCACAGCGATGCACAGGAACTGGGGAGAGCTGGAGGGCGAAAGGAGACCCAGGTCCTCCAGCCAGCAAGGGACAAGCCTGCAGAAGAGCTGCAGGCAGGCGGCTATTGTTATAACGATCCAGTTTGCCCAAAGCAGCCTGGGTCCAGGCCAATAACACCTGGAAGCCGTTACAACTGAGCAATGGGGAGTGCCCACATGGCCATATTCCTGTGGGTGCCAGCAATTGTCCCCAAGAGCAAAAAGGCCCGTGGAGCTGGAACTCCTGCTCCAGGGAGGTAGCCAAGATGTACAGGGGGGAAGCTGGATCCCAAAGACCCCAAGGGGGAGGGTGGAGCCAGCAGCCCACTTCCCTCAAAGCCAGTAGGACTAGAGCTTTGTTCAGGTGAGGACAAAACCAGACATCCCTTTGTGTCCCCATCCAGCCCCGCCTCGGATGAACATTGTGCCAACCAACAACTCCAAGACCCTTCGCTGCCTGGCCGACGGCTACCCTGCTCCTCACGTCGAGTGGTATCAGTGCTACAAGCACACTGAGAGGTGAGCGAGAGTGGGGAGAGGGGTCCCACACCGCAGAGCACTGGTGCCAGAGCTTGTCATTGCCAACGGCACCCCAGAGCTATGCCCAGCATGACAGCAATGCAGAGTCTCCTGCTGCCGACTACAGCGGCTCCTCCGTCGTTTCCAGTAGGCGCCAGTGAGCAAGGTGCCTCTCCAGCACCAGAAGGTGATTTAGACCAGCTCTGGACAGCAAAGTGTAGTGCATGTGCATTGTACAAAGCTGTGCTGGATGAGACCTGGTGAACACAGCACCGTTCCAAAACGGCCCCTGCTCAGGAGGGAGCAGACGTATCCCACTAGCTGAGCTGCTGGGGAGGGATGGTGTCAGCAGAACCAAGCTCGTGGAGCAACTGGGGGGTGGGTTTGGTTTGGTTTGCACAATGGGGAAAGGGGCTTTACATCAACAGGGCCTTGCTGAGCACAGCTTCATCTGAACAGCTACATTTTAGGTTTAGGGTCATTTCTGTCTATTAAAGGAAATGGAAGAATCTTTGTTGAGGAAGGAAGTGAGCGTCCCCTGGAGATGGGACAAGAGCAACAAGTTTCATAGATGTTGGGGTCAGAAGGGACCTTAGCAGATCATCGAGTCTGACCCCCTGCTGTAGCGGGACTCCAGTCCCTGGGGTCTGCTTTCACCATTAGCACTCACCTTGCCTGCAGGAGCGATGGAGCAGTGATCTCCATGGCCTAGTCTGGCTGCTTCAGAGACGTGCTTTTGTCTCCTCCTTTCCTGCAGATACAACCCAAACTGCACCTTGATTCTGAACGACACCAAACCACAGGTCCTGGATAAGACGCTTTTCAAAACTGTGCAAGTTGAGAGCATCCTTGCAGTCCCCAAGATGAACGCCAACCTTACCTTTTGCTGTGTGGCCATCAATGAAGAGGGGAATGCCTCTGAGACCTTCCACCCTTACATTACAAGTGAGATGAGGGATTCTGGTTTTCTCTGCTTAAAAATCACAAATTCGCTGATAAAAGTTTGTAAATTCTTTGATTAAAAACCCCCAAATCCACACTTTTCCACGATTAAAATGAAACGCCACTATATATATATATAAATATATCAATCAGTTGAATGCTGTGTTTTATTGATATATTTACAATTTGAAAGCAATTTGAAAGCCTATCAGTGCTTCTATCACTGTAATAAAATAAATTCTAAATACCTATAAATTCTGGCATTTTAATTTTTTTATCGTGGAAAACAGAGCTCCTCCTGCCCCCTTTGCTCACCAGGACACTGGTCCAGCTGTGGCCGTCCCCTCCGCTGCTTTGTGGCATTGAGCAGCCCCGATATGCTGGTGCTCTCACTCCCAAGTCTTAGCCCTCCAGCCCTGCCAGTGCCCCTCACTCCCAACCCAGAGCCCCCACACCTCTCCAAGCCCTGCTGGTGCCCTGCATGTCAAACCTGCAGCCCCTTTCCCACCCCAATCCTGCCAGTGCCCATTGTGAGGCTATGCCTCATTTCTCCACCTGCTCCATCCCTGCCCATGCCAGGAACTGAGGACAATTCTGCAGGAGCTGTGCCTTAGCGAAGGCAGGGTCCACATCACCCAGCCACCTCAGAGGACCATGTGGGCAGTGACATTATTCATCACTGCCCTGCCACTCACCAATGAAGCTATCTGCTTACAGATGTGGCAGGGGGGAAAAAATAGCACTTGACCTCCAGCTTGGCACACATTCATGCCAAGCCCAACACATGGCCAAAAGAGGAAGCATGTGAATTGGACCTGGCTTGCCCAGCGTCTGTATAGCTCCTGGGCTTTAGCAGGGCTTTTTGGTGCTTTTGGCTAACAGCTGATTGAACCGGGAAGGTGGGGTCAATAAAGAGCCTTCCCCCAATAAAAAGCTTTCCTCAGTTATTAGCATCTCCAGGCACATCCTGGAGCCCCTTTACTCAAAAGGTCTCAAGCCTCAGGTCTTCAGGTTGTAGCCATACTAGTCTAGAGGCAAAAGGAATCAAGTTGTGGTAGAGGTGATCTCTCTTATTAAACCAACTAGATTTTTGCAACAAAAAAAATTATTTAATTGCAAGCTTCTTTAATTGCAATTTTTTTTTGCAAAAATCAGAATTGGAAGCTTGCGATTAAAGAAATATTTTTGTAATAATCTAGTTGGTCTAATTAAAAAAAAAAAAAAAAATCCCCTCTACCACAAGATCCGATTCCTCAATCCTCAGGCACATTCTTACTAAAACCAGTGAATGCAAAACTGAACATAGGTCCCTGCACTTGACAACCAGGCTGAATCTTTGCAGGTCTGATTTTCTACCTACCTCCTTCCCGACTCCCAGGGCAGCACAGTCAGCTCTGGGGCTGCAGCTGTGTGACTGGGGGTGGGGGGCCGGGTAGGGCACTATGGGGGCAATGGCTTAGTGAAACAAGCATTTGCATGTCTGAGTTTCCCCCTTTCCCTCATGTTCCTCCAGGGGAAGTGTGGATGGCCCCCAACAAGCTCTTCAACCCCACCTTGTACAGCTGCGTGGGAATATCCGTCCTGCTGCTCCTGCTCCTCCTCTTCCTCCTGTACAAATACAAGCAGGTCAGACTGAGTCCCCGAGGGAGAGGGGTGTGCAGCAGGCAGAGGCCTGCGTGCAGGGGTTTGCGACTGTTGTGCAGTGCGGCCAACATGGGCCCTGTGGGGGTGCAGCAAGCCTGTACCTCACTGAACACCTTCGGCTTTCAGCGGGGAGCGAGGCTGGTCCCACGACCGCAGCTCTTGGGTCTGGGCAGCCCTGCTGGCTTGGCAAGGGAGATCTGGAAGTGCCCCTTGGCCAGGGAAGGGGCTAGCTTATTTCATGCCACTAGCTTTGTGAACCTGAATCCCTGCACTTGGCTAATGCTAGGGGTCATGCCAGCTGAGGGCAAGGGTGTGTATGAGTCCAGCAGAAAGCAGTTTCCACACTTACATGGTGGACGGCTGAGCCGCCCCTCCTGCATGGGCCGATCTGGAGCCCATGAGTCCTCATGCCCATGCTTTCTGCCCACCACGACCTTCTCCATCAGCAAATACTGGACCCCACAGCCATAACTAACCCCCCATTTCTCCCTGGTACCGCGCGGTCCCAGTACTATGCAGGCTTTTCCTCCAAGTGCTCGGCCAAGGTGCTCGCCCACATATTTCAGAGTCAGCTCTTTTTTGCAAGGATCAGCAGAAACGTGCAGATCTTTTCAGCCAGCGTCCTGCAAGCCTGGCCTCCCTTTTCTCACAAGGGAACAAAAAAAATAACCAGTGAGGCAAAACAGGCTGCAGAGGACACGAACACTCAGCAGCCTCCAGGCAGACTGTGCCCCAGCGTCACATGGGAAAGCAGCAAGACCTCCCTGTTGCTCTGTGAAAGCACCCTAAGGTTAAACCAGCCCTTGCTGCTCCTTGCACAGGGGAAAAGGGACTCCCCACTCCCTAGTCCACCCCACTGCAAGCGAGGAGTGCTGCCCTGAGCCCCAGACTCCTGCTTCTTGTCTATTTGAGCGGACAAAGAGGGGCGTCTCTCCCCAAGCACGGATCAGCAGCTCAGGCAGAAAAGCCGTCTTCCACCCTGAGAGATCTCAGCCCCGGGTCGAGAAGCACCAGCTCCTCAGCTCTGCTTTGTAAGGAACAGGCTTCAGCTATTGAGGGAGACAGGCCGACAGGGACGTGAGTGAGCCCAGCACCTATGGTTTCTTAGCCTCTCAGCCCCACTGCTCTAGACAATTCACAGGAGGAAAACAATACAGCTGCACTCTCCCTGGCTACATGGCTGGTATTAAGTGACCCCCCACTCCGGCTATGACTTTGCGGCAGGTAGAGTCTACCCCAGTGTTCAGGTTTCTGGGCCCTGAGATGCTCCACTTTTCTGGACACACGTTTTGGACACACGTTTTCTTTAAGGCTTTGCTCCCAGCTCCGGAGTTAGCTTGCATCAGCATCATAAGACATGCCCAGCCTTTCACGCCTGCAGCCCATCCACACGGGTGATTCATGCGTGTCTGTAGCTCCTCCAGAGCACCAGCTGTAGGAAGCGTTTCCACAGCCAGAGCTTCGGGGATGAAGTGAATCATTGCCCGCTTGGATCTGCCTCTTCCTTCCTGAAAGGATAGACGAGACCCAGGCAGAGGAGCTGGCTCGCACTCCCCTTCCCCCGCAGCACGCAGCATCCTGATGACCGATGGTTTCATGGTTTCACTTCCTCTTTCCCTGTTTTCCTCACCTCTGTCTGATTTTTCAAATCCTTCTGACGTGACCTTTACAGCACGCCTAAGAAGCTGACAGCTTCCGCTGCCCATAGGCTTTAGGCCCCCTGGCTCTGCCAGGTGCGCATTTGGGGAAAAGAGGAGAAATCCTAAGTTCTCCTTCTTTGCTGTAACAGGAACCAAATCCGAGGCAATGTACTTGCTAGGCTGTGCTCAGCAAAAGGGCGCAGGATGCACACAGACAGCTGCCGGGGCAGGGAGGGTAGACAGCAAGTGTTAAGTGGCTGTTATATATGATGTCTGCTGCCCAGATGAAATCCCCTACAGAGGTGTAGGGTGTAACAGCTGTCCGAGCTCTATAGCCCCAATAGCTTCAGGGGACAAAGAGAAGGAGTTTGAGACTACAGACTCCATTGGCTGCTCTTCAGAGAGAAAACAGGAGGGCTGGCCTGGATGTTTGCATGGCCCTGGGCTGAGCAGGAGCATCCATGTGTAGGTAGCAGTGGCTGGAGCTTTTCACGTCCAAGCAAGGGAGGAAGGACTGGACTTCGTGACTAGTCAGAATGCCTCGACCCTGCTTCTCAGCCTCTCCCACCCCTTTGTAGCCCATACTCAGAAGCAAATAGCATTTGATGGTCTAAAACTAGGTCCCTTCTCCAAAGCTATGGAATGACATAGCGAGACCACTCTGTCATACGGGGAAGGGGGTGTGGTTGCAACAGAGCCCCTGTGCAAGGGCAGCCTTGGATTGGGAACCTTGTGCAGAAGAAAGCACCTGAGTAATCAGATTTTTCTTCCTCACAGAAACCCAAATACCAGGTGCGGTGGAAGATCATTGAAGCCTGCGAAGGGAATAACTACATCTTTATTGACCCCACCCAGCTGCCATACAATCAGAAGTGGGAGTTCCCCAGAAACAACCTACAGTTTGGTGAGAAACCCTCATGGCTTCTTTGCCTTGAGTTGGCGACAACATGCAGGTCCACACTGGCTCATGTGCAGAGCTGAGATGCTCCTGCTGGCACCCCACCCTCCTTGCATCTAAAAGAAACACAATGGTTAGAGTAATAAAACACCACCTACATGCAGGCCCCCTCTCCCTCTTGCATGTAGATCTACACACAACATGAGACAACCCTTCTCCGTGCCCTCTCTCATGCAGAGCTGGGGTGATAGGATACTGCCCATTCTCATAACATTGTGCGAGATCCAGAATACCACTGCTGTCCAGGCTGCTTTCTGACCTGTAGAGCTGGACTGTCACTTCCTTAAAAAAAAACAAAAAAAAACTTTTTCTCTCACACTGAAATCCCCCGTAGACAAGGGCAGAGCGCATCTGAATTTCCCAGTGCTCGTGCAGTTTATGTTTTGCCATGGTTCTGCCATTGGCACATCCGCTGGAGAGTCCACCAGAACCAGTGCTTCGGAAAGTTGCCGTCACAAAACTTGGGTTCTTCTAAGCAGATGTTCCTTTCCAGGAAAGACCCTTGGAGCAGGGGCTTTTGGAAAAGTGGTCGAAGCCACTGCTTTCGGGCTGGGGAAGGAAGACTCTGTCCTCAAAGTGGCCGTGAAGATGCTGAAGGGTAAGTCAAGAACGGATTGCCGAGCGAGCCTGGCTAAGAAACTTCATGGCCCCAGGGGGCTGGGATCGAGGACACAGTAATTGCACCTCTAGCAGATTATAGGCTAGATAACACCTGCTTTGCAGGCTGGCGCCATGGGTAGAACTGCTGCTGGTCATCATGCAGCCATAGCTGCCCTAGGTAGTGGTGACCAGTTATGGATAAAGGGGATGCATTCATCAATCCTCCTCCTTTCCCATATTTGCATCGACTTACGCTTTCTCTCATCTTACCTCTGGCCCCCTTCCCACTGCCTTCCTCAAGCTCCCTTTTTCTAACCCCTTTCTCTCCCCCATCACCCCCACACCACCCTTTCCTCTTTCATTCCAGCCACAGCCGACACAGATGAGCAGGAGGCGCTCATGTCTGAGCTCAAGATCATGAGTCATCTGGGCCACCATGAGAACATTGTGAACCTGCTGGGAGCATGTACCTGCGGAGGTAGGCAGCGATGTACCTCTCCCTCAAAGGAAGTCTGAGGTCAATGACCAAAGAGAGCACCAGCATGTTAAAAACCTCTTAAAAACATGTCAAACTGGGAAGCAACAATGGTCCCTTCTTGCTTTCTAAAACATAGCCTTTTTCAAGTCAGCAACAGTCATGTGGTCGTACTCATCGGCCAGCCTACCTAGCTACACTGTCCGGTTGACCTGATGCCAAATTAGAAATTGTTTGCTCAAGGGTTTTCAGTGACTATTCCCTTCCCCAAATAATGCCTGCAGGACAGCAGGTTGTCAGATCCCATCACTGCCACCACATGTGGCAGGCCAGTAAGGGTGCTCCTGCATTGAGCCACCCACCTCACTGCACCCAACCACCTTCCAGGCTCCAAGTGCCTCCCTGGGGGCTCCTCATATCCGGCTGACCCCCTTCCTGGAGCACACCCACATGCCTGGGGGCAATGCTGCCACCACCCAGGGTCTGGACTGATCTTGGCCCTTTGCCCCTGGGAAACACAGGCCTAGTAGTCCTTGAGGGTACTTGACCCACTGCAAGCACTTGGGGTGCTTCCCTCAGTCTGAAGCACAAATAGTGGTCTCCCTTAGTCAGTCAAACCAAGGGGACCCCAAGGCATAATCTAGGTCCTTTCCCAATAAGTCTCCCACGCTAGGTACAAAGGAGAACATCATTGGTTACAAGGAGGAGTAGGTTTGGAATATACCTTAGATGCTTTCCTGCAGCTGTTCCACTGCTTCTCTCCTCCCTACAGCTGATTAAGGGACTTTGGCCTAGCAGAGCTGCCATCCTATTCCATGGACAGAACTGGAATGGATGAGAGTGGGCTATTATCAGAGACTCATATATAACCGTAAAGTTGCAGAGTCCAGCAAAATCTCTAGTCTTCCGGTGAAAAGTATATACAACAAAGTTGTTGCTCACACCAAGTCTATGCCCAGACATCCTTGTTCTCACACACCAGGGATGCAAGTCTTCTCCAGAAGAGACAGGATGCAGTGAAGTCACTTCTTGATGGTCACCACTTCCTTTTTTTTTTTCAGGCCCAATCTTGGTCATCACAGAGTACTGCCGCTATGGAGATCTGCTAAATTTTCTGCGGAAGAAAGCAGAGTGCCTAATCATCCAGGACTTGAGCTCGGATTCCTCTCCGGACAACACTGCCAATTACAAGAATATCTATCTGGAGAAGAAGTATGTCCGAAGGTACAGATCAGGACTAGAGATCAGAAAGAGAAAGAAAAAGAATACTTGCTAGCAACAAGTGGAGAAAGATTATATCAATGTAGTGTGGGAGTTCAGGTTACTTGTAAGCAGAAATGTAGGGATTTCTTTAAATCCCTATGTCCATGAAGCTATGTTTCCTATCGATCAGAAATGCCCTGGAGGGACACTGTGGGATAAAGAGCAAAATTGTGACTGGTCCATTACAGAAGCCTCTGAAAATGGACTACATTTTACTGGTGTGATCTTTGAGCCTTCTATACTTTTCAGTGCAAACCTGCTCCATTGCCCACAACCTACAGCAAAGGACCTGTCACAGTTTGAGATCTTGCCAGCCAAAGAACTATTGAGGGAAGGTGACAGAAGGGGAGAAACGCAGTTCTGAGAGGGGTAGTTACAACGCATCTCCCTCCTGAATGCTCCCAGAACAGGGTGCAATTAGCCAGGGGTAGCTAGGGTGCAGTTCTCAGTCTAACCTTGCTCACGCTAGCTCTGCAGTCCAGCCTTTAATACAAGCCAACTCTGGTAGCTACTTGGAAGCACCTTCTCTGCTCAGCAGCCTGGGCTTAGAGAATGGCAAAAGTCCATCAGGAGACGGCCCTGTTTGGTCCTAATGACTTGTACCCTCGGCTCTCTCTGATTTAGTGACAGCGGGTTTGCAAGCCAGAGTTTAGAAACATATGTGGAAATGAGACCTGTGTCATCATCGTCGTCATCCTCCTCAGACTCCACACCCACAAGGGGTAAGTTGCAAAGCCTGGCCTCTGCTTTCCACTGACCTTAGCCATGTGATGCCCATACTGTTCGATGCATCACAGGCTGGGATCCAGCAGGCTCCGCATTCACTCACCCTCAACCCACTGGACGCATCCTCTGCCAGCCTCTAAGCACTCCTGTTTGTTCCAGGCAAGACCCCACAGGAAGAGGAGAAGGAAGATGCGCGGCCCCTGGACCTGTACGACCTGCTGCAATTCTCCAATCAGGTGGCCCAGGGCATGGCCTTCCTTGCCGCAAAGAACGTGAGTGGCAAGGGGAGGCCACCCCAGAGGCTTCCTAGCAAGTGATCTAGTTAATACCAATCCAGCTCACAGTACAGAGCACCAGGGGGACACCAGCTAGCGGTGACACAGCATCAGATGACAGTCAGTCTGCATGAGGTTCCTAACGGTTTGGTCAATCATAGCAAGCTGCTGCTTCGGGAGCAGGATAAAACTCTGGTGCTGATGCGGTGCCAGGCGGTAGCCAGGTCAGATTCATTCCATCCCAGTGCCTGCATTCGCCTCTGAGCACACATCTCCTGCTCCGTGGCAGCAACCCATAGTGCAGCCGTCTGTATCTAACTGCATGTTCGTGTTGTGCCGTTGTCACATCTCTCTCTCCGGCTATTACGTTAGAGCATGAGTTCTTGCTCTGTGCCTTCCTGCACTTACAGCTCTCTTTGGGGAAAAAGGAACAGAAAGTGACAGTTGACACTGCTGCCTGGACCTGCTTGTAGAAGTGGGTTAAGAGCGAGCAAACTGATGGGCTGTTCTATGCCGAGGCTGTCTCTAAACACCCAAGACTCCTGAAACTCCCTCAAAAAGGGAACCCAAGAGCACCAAAAGGGATTCCTGGTTAGAGTGGGCAGTGTCTTAGAAATGTAGCTCCTAAAACTGAAAATAAAATGGAAGGAAGTGACAAGTATAAACAAAGAGAGCATTTGTAGTGTGAGACAGTTAGTACTACCAAGGGGTCTCAGTGAACAAGAGCTCATCTTCTCAATGCTCCTCTCAGACAGGAAAACTGTCCCCTTGTTATAGAAGGGCTGTAATGGGAGGGTACCTCATGGAGACGGTCTTGCCATCCATTTTCTAGTGCATCCACCGTGACGTGGCAGCAAGGAACGTGCTGGTGTCGGACGGGCGAGTAGCCAAGATCTGTGACTTCGGGCTGGCCAGGGACATCATGAACGATTCAAACTACGTCGTGAAAGGCAACGTAAGTACCTGACATGGGGACAGCAGTGAGGAGGGCTGGAGCTGACTGTTCACCGGGAAGGGCATTAAGGAGAGAACAAGACAAAACCAGTGGTGTTTGCAGCCAGCCCGTCTCCCTGACTGGAGACTTTCACCCCTCCAGGCTCGTCTGCCCGTGAAGTGGATGGCCCCAGAGAGCATCTTTGACTGCATTTACACAGTGCAGAGCGATGTGTGGTCTTATGGCATCCTCCTCTGGGAGATCTTCTCGCTAGGTAAGAAAGGATCGTTTGAAGTTCTTGATGATACATTTCCATTCCTTGAAGCTTACATAAATGCAAGGATTGGGGAAAGGCCCAGCAGCCTTTATCAGAGACATAAAACAACTCACTATCAGTCCTAGCTGTAAAAATCACTGGTTCATGAGAAACTCTTGTTGCCACAAAACTTCCTCAGCAAGAGAAACAGGCAAGCCAAACTCCTCCAGCACTGCTTAAGTCAGGCAGCAAGACTGGCTGATGTGGATTCACAGAAGTTTAGGGCTGGAAGGGACCTCAATCTCTCACCACTACCTTTGTTCAACATGTTGGTTCATGTGTTGGCAGGTAAAAGCCCATACCCAGGCATGGCAGTGAATAGCAAATTCTACAACATGGTGAAGCTGGGATACCAGATGGCCAGGCCAGATTTCGCTCCTTTGGAAATGTAAGTGTGTACGTGATGGGGAGCAAAAACAAAAAAAAAAA